CTGGGCAGTGTTGTGGCTGTGAAGTTCTGAGCTTGCCAGAAAGATGGAGACATGAGTGGGATGTCACTCGAACTCAGTGTGGGCTCACTGTCCAGAGGTAGTGTCTCACTTTGAACTTGGAGAAAGGGGATGTCCAGTCAGCCTGTCCGCTGTCCCCTGGTTCCTAACAGCCAAGCTTCTTCACTGTGATGGAAGCGTGGAGGCCCAGGGCTCCTGCAGGCGTTGTGACTACTCCAGGGGGATGGAGCCTCTTCTCCTGCCATCACGCATGGTCTGAGGACAGAGGAATCTAGAATTCTCTCCACTCATGTTGTTGCCTGTGGCAGTTGGCTTCTTGGAGGAGGTCATTTGAGGGCAGGAGCTCCGGAGTCGGGGCTCGTGGTGGGTGCAGACACTGCTTCGGCCTGTGTGGTGGCTGGGCGTCTTCAGCCTTGTTTATAGGTGCTTTGCCAAGAGGGAGATGTCTTGCTGTGTGAAGGTCGCGTGCTGGTGTGATTCTCTGTATGTAAACACCTGATCAGACACTGGGAGGCTGGTACGGTGGTTCACACCTGTAATCCTGGCACTTTGAGAGGCCAAGGTGAACGGATCTCTTGAGGCCAGCAGCTCGAGGCCAGTCTGGGTAACACAGCTCTCGTCTACAAAAAACCAAAAGCAGCGTTGGAGAGTGGGCGGTGCAGCTAGGTTAAGTATCCCTAGCCTGAAATTCAAAGTGCTTCAGAATCCAGAAGCTTTTGACTTGGACGAGGTGCTTGAAGGACGTGCTCAGTGCAACGTTTTGGATTAGGATGCTGAGCCAGTACGTATTTGCAGATATTCCAAAACCTGAAAAATCTGAAGTGCAGAAGCACTTTTGGTCCAGAGCATTTGGGACGAGGGATGGGCAGCCTGTGGCATGTGAGCAAGGAACAGTGGCTGGCTCCTGACAATGCCCCTTTAACTGTGCGTTCCTCTCTCTTTTTTTTTGGTTTGGCAGTGGGGGCGTGTCTCTCTGTTGCCCAGGCTGGAGTGCGGTGGCATGGTCTCAGCTCACTGCAACCTCCGCCTCCTGGGTTCAAGGGATTCGCCTGCCTCAGCCTCCTGGGTAGCTGGGATTATAGGAACGAGCCACCACTCCTGACCTAATTTTTGTAGTTTTAGTAGAGACGGGGTTTTGCCACGTTGGCCAGGCTGGTCTTGAACTCTTGACCTCAGGTGATCTACCCACCTCGGCCTCCCAAAGTGCTAGGATTACAGGCGTGGGCCACCATACCCGGCCTGCTCTTGGTTTTGAAAGTGATATCAGCAGTATAACTTCATGTAGAAATGTTTGCCCTCGATGGTGTGGAAGACAGACCATGTGACTTGATGCAGTCCAGGCAGCAGATAAAATCTGGCCTCAATGGTGTGGCCTGGGATTTCCCCTGACCTTGGTGCAGGGTATGCGTTGCTGCGTCCCCTTTCTCTAGTTAAACTGCAGGACAGTGGGTGAAGGTGGGAAGTTAACTGCCACTTTCAACATGAGTTGGCAAATTCCTCAATACCTTTTTTATTTTTTTGGAGGCAGAGTCTTACTCTGTCGCCCAGGCTGGAGTGTGCAGTGGCATGATCTTGGCTCACTGCAACCTCCACCTCCTGGGTTCAAACGATTCTCCTGCCTCAGCCTCCCAAATAGCTGGGACTACAGGCACAGGCCACTATGCCTGGGTAATTTTTGTAATTTTTAGTAGAGATGGGTTTTACCATATTGGACAGGCTGATCTCAAGCTCCTGACCTCATGATCCGCCCACCTGGGTCTCCCAGAGTGCTGGGATTATAGGTGTGAGTCACCATGCCCAGCCATTCTCAATACTCTTTTTAAAATTCCTTTAGAATTGTGGGTTTGTGAACTTTTCAGCATCCATAAAGGTGGAGTGAAATCTTTACCCTTTCTCAGTGGGAAATTGGAGGGGATTATTGAGGCAGGGGAGTAGATTTGGGGGATGAGAGTGGGGCAGGGAAAAGGGCATAGGGTGAGGAGAGGACCGGGGTGAGTAGAACCGTGCTGAGCTAGCAGGTGGCACCCTGTGGCTGGTTCACAAACATGGGGGCCACTCCCCATACCTGGGGGCTTCTTATGCAGACTCTGGGATTGGGATGTACCCTCTCCCCAGAGAACCGCCCACCCTTAGCACATCCACCTCCATTCCGTTTTAGGGCTTCCATGTACTCGTGTGGCCTGTGTGCATTTCGCTGACCCTGCATCCCTGTGGTACTCCCTGAGCTGGGTGAGAGCCCAGGCTTTGTTACTCTGCTGCTGCTGCTAAGCTCCTGTTGAAGGGCTTTGAAGCACGGGCAAGATGCAAGTTGTGGGCAGCAAGGGTTCTTTCCCAGGTCGCAGTTGAGAGCCTCAGAGGCCAGAATGCCTGCAACCTGGGCAGTCAGGAGGCTCGTGGCCTGAGGGACCGAGGCCAGGTTTTCCAAACAAGATGAGGACGCAGGATTACAAGTGATGCGTTTGATTTGACATGTGCGTTTATGAGGGAGAAATCCTCCCAGTGGAATCAGTGTTTCCAGAAATGCCCTCGAGAGCCACAGCAGCACGTGGGAAAGGCAGAGCCCGGGAGACCATCGGATTGGCTCTGCCTGCGGGCTGGAGAGAGAGCGCCTGGCTGCTGGACTGTGGGTGTCGGGGGGTGGGCTAGAAGGAGGGCGCTGGTGTCCTCAGTGCTCTGGAGGGGGCTCAGGGCAGCGCCAACTCAGTCCCGGGGCTCGGGGCTCAGCCACTGGACTCCTGGTGGAGGACAGAGGGGCCTGTGGAGGCAGGTGCCTGCTTGCTGGTTCTGCTGGTCTCTGGGTGACGAACCCAGCCACTGTGGAGGGAGAGCTGAGACCCGAGACCCTGCACAGGCTGGGGGTCTGGAGGTGGGCGGGGTTGTGCCTCCACTTGACGTCCAGTGACCTGCCCTATGCTGTGACCTCCCTCAGATCCTGGCACCCAAGCCCACGAGTATGGCTCAGCTGCGTACTAGAATTGATGCCAGGATAAGTCCAGCTGGAGAGGCTGGGTGGGAGCCTCTGGCTGGGGCAGAACGAAGGGACGAGGAGCAGTGCCCTCTGGCTGAGCTAGGCGGGAGGTGCAGTGTCGGGGGCCATCCCTGCCACATGCCATCCAGCCTGTGGGGGATGAGCACCCTGTGAGTCCAAATCCATCCCTCCTCCCCGTGGTGTCGTCTGGAGCCACCCCCTGTGCCACCTCCCCGTGGTGTCCTCTGGGGCTGCCCCTGTGCCACCGTGGTCAAATCCATCCCTCCTCCCCGTGGTGTCCTCTGGGGCTGCCCCTGTGCCACCGTGGTCAAATCCATCCCTCCTCCCCGTGGTGTCCTCTGGGGCTGCCCCTGTGCCACCGTGGTCAAATCCATCCCTCCTCCCCGTGGTGTCGTCTGGGGCTGCACCTGTGCCACCGTGGTCAAATCCATCCCTCCTCCCCGTGGTGTCCTCTGGGGCTGCCCCTGTGCCACCGTGGTCAAATCCATCCCTCCTCCCCGTGGTGTCGTCTGGGACTGCACCTGTGCCACCGTGGTCAAATCCATCCCTCCTCCCCGTGGTGTCGTCTGGGGCTGCACCTGTGCCACCGTGGTCAAATCCATCCCTCCTCCCCGTGGTGTCCTCTGGGGCTGCACCTGTGCCACCGTGGTCATGTTTGTGGCAGCTGCTTAATGAGCCCATCAGCCGTCGGGGGCTGTGTGGCTGGCGCGGTGCAGGGCATTTAAGTCACAGCACACCCTGAGGATTCTGATTAATCCTGCCCCAGAGCCCAGTTATCTCTCTTAGTCCTTGTTTTCTCCTGTTCGTGCGTTATGCCTCCCTTCTGCCTTCCTGCTGCAGCTCCACTGCTCGGCTGCAGGGCTGGAGGAGGGGCGCTGCTTCGGGTCTGCACTGTGGCCCAAAGGCTGTGCCTGCATTTTTCTGTCCTCTTGTCCCTCTGGCCCTGAGAGAAACACAGGGGCCTTGCTGGAGACAGCGTTCCTGAAGCTTCCGTCCCCATTTCTGGCCGCAGTGGGCCAGGCGCCCTGTGCTTGCCTGCCTGGTGTTGGTTGTGTTTTGGGTGGTGGGCGCTGCCACAGCCCTGGGGGTGGGGAAGCTGGGTTAGCTGCCGTTCTGTGGTGAGGCCATGTGGCTGACTGCGTGTGTGGGAAGCTGTGTTACAAGCCCCATCTATGTAAAACAGAGCATGGGTCGCTGCCTTGTGGAGAGGACATGCATGCCAAAGGAGGCTCGAGTAGAAATGGTGTGGAAAACGATTGCCCCAGGAAGCCGGGGCCAGAGAGGGAGGGAGCTGGGACTTTGTTTCTTACTGAACCAGCGTGCAGACATGCTGCACCGTAACTCCGGCGCATCCGTGAGTCTGGGTCAAGGTTGGATTTGTGGATGTGCTGATCTGGATGTGGACCGGGGAGCGCAGGCCTCTCTCACGTGCTGGATAGCCGTGCTTCCTCCCGAGGAGGCTCAGGTGCTGCCTCACGGCTGTCCTGGGCTGGATCCTTCCCGGGGCACAGCTCTCTGTCTGAGGCTCCTGGTCTGAGCAGCAGCAGTCAGTGCGCGTCAGGGGTGCGGCAAGGCTGGGGTGCCCTGGAGGCTGGTGCCTGCCCTTGTCCTTGACAGTGGTGGTGTTTATGGAGAGGGCTGGTGTCTCCCTCAATGCACGATGAAGACTGGGGTCGAGGAACCATTCCCCGTTTCTTGCTGACAGTTTTCAAACACAGGAAAGTTGAGAATTTTGTCACCCATTTATCCACCACCTAGATCCCACCATCAGGAGCAATTTTCTTAAATGAAAACGTGGTGAAAGGAAATGTGTTGAAGATGTTGGCTGTGATCCAGTTGTCAGCATTGCTGAACGTTTTTGGCCCATCTTCAGCAGCTGGAAACAGCATATGGCCAGGCGCCTGTGCCTGCCACCTCCCACACGGCCTGCTGGGCTGTCGCGGACCCTGTGCTGCTCCTGAAAGGTAACAGGGGCGTCTCTCTGGCCTTCTAGGACGGTGGCGAGGAGGTGTACGGCCCTGACCTTCACAGCCTCTGAGGAGAAGATCTTGGTGGCCGACAAGTCTGGAGACGTGTACTCCTTTTCGGTGCTGGAGCCTCACGGATGTGGCCAGCTAGAGCTGGGGCACCTGTCCATGCTGTTGGATGTGGTATGTGGGGGACAGTACGTGGGGGTGCGGTGTGTGGGGCACAGCTGAGTCAGTGTCTACCTGGCCTGTATCCCAGCATCTGGCAGGGAGAGTGGGGCTGTCCTGTAGCAGGGACAGCCCTCTGCAGATCTGGGAGCAGGAGAGTGGTGGGAACAGGATTCAGGAAGGTAAAGCACACTGCAGGGAGAATGAAGGCAGGGAGTCAGCGGGGTGACCCTAGGTCGGAAGTGAAGGTGTAGGAGAAGCAGGTACAGCCATGAGCCTCTGGCTCCGCCTCCTTGGCCCAGGGCTGTGCCAGGTGCTGTAGGAGCATCCCCTCAGCACTGCTCCCAGCAGCCCCTGTCACCCCACCCTGCCTGTCCTGTGTCACAGACTCCTGGAGCCCCAGAGGGCCCAGGCCCACAGCCCAGGTGGTAGAGCTGGATTGGACACAGCAGGGACTGTCAGGAACAACGGCAGGTGTGGGGCGTCACAGGAACCTCACTGGGACTTGGTGACCATTGGATGTGGGGACCCATGGGACAGGAAGGCGAGGAAGCAACCCTGGTGTTGGGCAGGAGGGTGCAGCAGGCCTGGGAGTGTGGAGCCTGGATGTGCTGAGGCGTGGGAGACAGATGGGTAGCTGTGGCCTGGCCGCGCCCCAGAAGCCTGCTCTAGTGATGAGGAGTGTGGGCAGGAGGCGGCCAGGGACCACCTAGGGAGGGAGGAGGAGGGCCAGCGATTAGACGGAGGGGCAGGAGGACAGGGGAGCCCCCCTGGTCTGTCCTCGAAGGCCACAGCCTCTTGACACCCGGGCTGCAAGCTCCCTGCTTCCATGAGGGACTTGATTCCAGGACGGCCCAGGCGAGCAGCTCGTTCTTTTCTGGCCCCTGTGATACAGGCTGTGAGTCCGGATGACTGCTTTATCCTCACTGCCGACCGGGACGAGAAGATCCGAGTCAGCTGGGCCGCCGCACCCCACAGCATCGAGTCCTTCTGCTTGGGACACACAGAGTGAGTGCCCCCTTTCTGGAGTTCTCTGGACTGCAGTGCCCCTCCCCTCCCCTCCCCTCCACCGTCTCCCGCTGGGGTCTCTGTAACTCCCCTGCCTCGCCAGGCATGTGACGGAGGTTCTGATGGGAGCACGCTTCCCACCCCTCTGGGAAATGCCTCATCACTTGGATAATATTGAATAAAAACATAGTATTAAAATCACTTCACCTGCTCTTTTACTTTTCAACACGGTGGCTGGCGAGTGGAAAACAAATCCCTGTGGCCCCTGTGTGTGGCCCCTGTGTGTGGCTGGAGCTACATTTCTGCTGGTCGGCGCTGCTCCGCACCCTCTGCCGACATTGCAGTGTTCGTGGCTGCCTCTACCACGTCTGAGTGGTTCTGTGGGCCGGTTGTGCCCGCTGCAAGACAGCAACCCCCAGCACAGTGCCTGGCATGAGTAGGCACTCAGTAGACACTGCAGTGACTGAACAAGTTATTTTTTGAGATTTTCTTTCAAACCCATGGAAACTGGTTTCTGTCCTTTCCTGTTGAGACCTGTGAGGCTCCTTGGACCCTCTGCACAGGCTCTCCTGGGCCCTGTCTGCCCTGGGCCGTGGGCTGCTGTCTTTTCCTTTCAGAGGGCCTGCGATGAGAAGCCAGCCCTCGGTGCTGCGGTGCCGTGCAGGGCGGTGGCTTTGGGACGAGGCCCAGGCCAGGCAATAGCTAGCCCAAGGTAGCAGAGGCCATGACTGGCGGACATGAAGGGAGCCTCACGGATCACCCATTCCAGGAGTCCCTGGGCACCCCGTGCGTGAGGGATTGCTTGAGGTCACTGTTACAGCGGGAAGAAAAACAGGCCTTGTCACCCTTGCAGGTGCTTGAGCCAGGATGGGTTTCCAGGAGAGCTGGGCTGCCTGGGTCACTCTTCATGGCTGTTCTGATGGGAGCGTGCCTGTGATTTTGAGTCTGTTGCAGGCCACACCCTTGCAGGAGGACTGGACCGGCTCAGCAGAGCCAGCTCTCTGGCCAGGTCACTCAGAGTTGTCATTGAGGGGCCATGAGGGCCCTGATTGGACTCTGTCCATGGGCTTGGCTGCCCTCCTCCCAATCCTCCTCCCGCCTGCCCTCCTTCCCCCACCTTCCTACCCATGTGCTGTGTCTTCGAGGATCCACCAGGGCCCCTTTCGTCACAGCGCAGGTGCCTCAGGCAAGGGTGGGTGCTAGGGGCCTGTGGGGGTGCAGCTGAGCAGAGCCACTGCAGAGGGGCACAGACGCAGTTGGGTCTCTGTCAGGCATGGCTGAGGAGTGGCCTGGGTTAGAGGTTGCTGTGCTGTTGGGGACCCAGGAATGACCCCCTCACCTCCCTCACCCAGTCCAGGGGCCTTCACCTGGTCAGCCCTAACCAGATTAGGGCTAACAGATCCTTCCCAAGTTGGCTGCTTTTATTGCATCGGGCGTTTTGGGCGGAGGCGTCTCTCAGATGAACATGTGGCCTTCCCATGCCCGCGGGCACTGGGCGTCTCTCAGATGAACTTGTGGCCTTCCCATGCCGCGGGCACCGGGCGTCTCTCAGATGAACATGTGGCCTTCCCATGCCCGCGGGCACCGGGCGTCTCTCAGATGAACTTGTGGCCTTCCCATGCCTGTGGGCACCGGGCGTCTCTCAGATGAACACGTGGCCTTCCCATGCCCGCGGGCACCGGGCATCTCTCAGATGAACACGTGGCCTTCCCATGCCCGCAGGCACCGGGCATCTCTCAGATGAACACGTGGCCTTCCCATGCCCGCGGGCACCGGGCATCTCTCAGATGAACATGTGGCCTTCCCATGCCCGCGGGCACCGGGCATCTCTCAGATGAACATGTGGCCATCCCATGCCCGCGGGCACCGGGCATCTCTCAGATGAACACGTGGCCTTCCCATGCCCGCAGGCACCGGCGTCTCTCAGATGAACACGTGGCCTTCCCATGCCGCGGGCACCGGGCGTCTCTCAGATGAACATGTGGCCTTCCCATGCCCGCGGGCACCGGGCTAGCTGACAGCTTCTCTCTTGCTCTCACAGGTTTGTGAGCCGCATCTCCATGGTGCCCACTCAGCCTGGGCTGCTGCTGTCCTCCTCTGGGGTAAGTATTCCTAGCCCAGCGTCACTCACCTCTGGATTCTGCAGCCTGCAGGGAGGGTGGGGTGGGTGCCTCCTAGAACTGGCCCCTCTGGATCGCTGTTCGCGGCTGTCCACTAGATGGTGCTTGTTTCCGAACCTTGGAGCTGCCCACGGCTTGCTCCTCGCCTGCAGCAGCTCATTCAGGACTGTGTGGGTGTGCGTAGGTGCCTCTGTGTTTGCACAGGCGATAATCTAGAACGGGTGTGTGGACAGCTCCCTTCTGAAGGTGGCCGTGCCTTCTATGACAGGATCTCAGGGAGAAGCAGGAGATGGGGGGCCTCTCTGACTCCTGGAGGGGTCTGAGTCCATCCCATTACTGGCTGCATTTTTTTGTCTTTTTTTGAGATGGGGTCTTGTTACATTTTTCAGGCTGGTTTCAAACTCCTGGCCCCATGCGACCTCCCTCCTTGGCCTCCCAAGTAGCTGGGACCACCTGCTTGGGCCCCCACACCTGGGTACTGCGGAGGATTTCTGCTTGCTTGAGTACAGATTGTGTGTCCCAGCACTGGGTCCTGGAAGCCTTACAGTTTAGTGACGAGAGACGTGTTTCCTCTGAGGAATACGGTACAAGTGTTGCGAGTGATTTTGCCAAACTGAGGGCTTTGGATTGATCACAGCGTCTGTCTTGAGGACCTAGGAATTGTCACCCACACGCCACCACCTTCCTCTTTGCTGCCCTTCCCTGTGCTGTCTGTGACGATGGCCTTGTGTGATGTGGCAGGATGGCCGATGGACCTTCTGGCTGCCCCTACGTTCATTCTCTGATTTGGCTTCATTCGAAGCCTCCTGTTCCTGGTCTTCAAATGAACGCACAGCCACGTGGTCTGAGAACAGAACAGTCTGGCTGGAGCCTCCAGAGGTCAGGGTCAGGGTCAGCCTTCGTCAGCGTTTTGTTGTACATTGTCTAGTCTTTTTCATCATCGTGGAGAAAATCTTCCATGGGCAGAGAAGCCTTCCCAGGCGCCATCTGTCGCTCGTGGTTGCAGTGGAGTGGAATGCATTATCTGGTAGCCACTAGAAGGTGTGGGGAGTGTCAGTGTTTTGTGACTCTGCCTTTCTGGAAATAGCGTTAATCTCCTCGAGGCCTGATTGTTGGTTTGGCGTAGAAATCCTGGTTGAAGCGGTTTCCCTCGGAGCTTGGGAGGCCTTGCCCTCTGTGCTCTCCAGCGGCTGCTCCTGTATGGTTTCCCGACGCCCTTCCTGTGGAACCCTGCAGCCGTCTGCTGCGGGTCTGTGGCGTGACAGCCGGACTCTGCCGCGGGTCCGTGGCCTGACAGCCGGACTCTGCCGTGGGTCCGTGGCCTGACAGCCGGACTCTGCCGTGGGTCCGTGGCTTGACAGCCGGACTCTGCCGTGGGTCCGTGGCGTGACAGCCGGACTCTGCCGCGGGTCCGTGGCTTGACAGCTGGACTCTGCCACGGGTCCATAGTGTGACAGCCGGACTCTGTCACTGGTCCGTGGCGTGACAGCCGGACTCTGCCGTGGGTCCGTGGCGTGGCAGCCGGACTCTGCCCGGGTCCGTGGCCTGACAGCCAGACTTGACAGCTGGACTCTGCCGTGGATCCGTGGCCTGACAGCCGGACTCTGCCCGGGTCCGTGGCCTGACAGCCAGACTCTGCCCGGGTCCATGGTGTGACAGCTGGACTCTCCTTCTTGGAGGGCCTTCCTCCACCCCAGCATGCGATGTGGAAGCCACTGAGGTGGCTCGGTGGGGTCCGGAGAGGAGCTGGTGCTCAGCTGGTAATTTCAGTGCCTCCGACCTGGGGCATTTTCTTACATGATTTCCTTCTGTTCTGAGCGATCCAGCCACTTCGCCCACTGGGATTCTAGGTGAGAGCCACTGTGCCCGGCCACAGTTGACTCTTTTCTCTCCTGTTCAGTCTCCTAGTCCTGTTCCTTTAGGAAGAGTCTTCTTGGGAGATGGCCCCAGCTTTACTTCCAGCCTCTGTGGAGACTTGAGTTTTATTAGGATGATTTTGAATCTTCGGTTCTTTCTTGTCCTTGGCCTGTTCTTCACAGACACGCATTCTCATGTAGTGTGGATCTCTTACCTCACTGAGACGAGTGTGGGCTTTTCTTTCTTCATTGGCTGCTGGCCTCGTGTTTGATTCCTTTCCCTGGTGTATGCTATCGCCTTTCTCATTGGAGGTTTTCCTCAGATGTCTGGTGATCCTGTCTGCCTGTGTGTGATGGGAATCAGCGTCCGTGGCCTCGGAGGCTGGGTGTGTGCCCGGGGTGGGGCCGTAGAGGCTTCCAGGCAGACCTGAGCGTGGGCAGCAGCCCCTTGCCTGTGGGCCCCATGGTACGTGTGGGTCAGTCGGTCTCTTCTGGGCAGTCACTGTCCTGGCCTTCACTCTTGCTGGGGTCTGTCCCTGGGGCTCTGGAGCTGAGTGTGAAGGGGCTGGGCGGCTCTCTTCTCGGGGAGTATTTGGTGTCCCCGAGACTGGGGCCTCTCACTTCCCCAGAGCCTTGCGCTGGCCTGGAGTCTGGGGCTCAGCATACATTGGGGAGGTCTCATTTCTCTTTGGAAAGACATTTGACAGCTCCCCTCGCCACCCTGGCCTTCAGGCTGCCTGGCCTCTAGCCCCCAGGCTTCCTCGCCTTCTCTTTTCTTCCTGCATAGTGGGTTCGTAGTTAGTAAACATCTTTTTCTTGTCATTGTAGACAGTTTTGGGGTGAGTGGAAATGCCTGTAGATGTGTGTGCTGGTCTCCATGTTTATCTGCCAAATTTGTGGCAAGATGTGTATGTGTGTGTGCATGTGCATGTGTGTGCAGGTATGAGTAGGCATGTATGTGCAAGCGTGCGTGTGTGTATGAGTGTGTGCATGTGTGGGTTTGCATGTGTGTGCGCGCGTGTGCATGTGTGGGTTTGTATGTGCGCATGTGCGTGTATGAGTGTACATGTGTGGGTTTGTATGTGCGCATGTGCGTGTGTATGAGTGTGCACATGCGTGGGTTTGTATGTGTGCATGCGTGTGTGCATGTACGGGATTGTATGTGCGCATGCGCGTGTGTATGAGTGTGCATGTGTGGGATTGTATGTGCACATGCACGTGTGTATCAGAGTGTGTGTGCATGTGTGGGTTTGTATGTGCACATGCATGTGTGCATGCGTGGGATTGTATGTGTACATGTATGGGATTGTATGTGCATGCGTGTGTGTGCATACATTCATACATCCGCTCTTACCCTGGCACTCGGAGGATCCGCGCCTGCTGTTAGCTGTTTGGGGTGTTTACTTTTCATCTTTTTCTTTCAGTCACTTAAAAATACAAAGGCCGGGCGCAGTGACTCGCACCTGTAATCCCAGCACTTTGGGAGGCAAAGGGTGGATCGCTCGAGGTCAGGAGTGCGAGAACAGCCTGGACAACTTGGTTAAACCTCGTCTCTACTAAAAATACAAAAATTAGCTGGGCATGTTGGCTCATGCCTATAATCCCAACTACTCGGGAGGCTGAGGCAGGAGAATCGCTTGAACTCAGGAGATGGAGGTTTCAGTGAGCTGAGACTGTGCCATTGTACTCCAGCCTGGGCAACAGAGCGAGACTGCGTTGCAAAAAAAAACCTCACAAATAGTGTACAGACACTCTCATTAGGTTTAGTGAGTATTGATTTTTTTTTCCATTAATTAGTACTGTAACAAATTTTTTTTAAGCCAGGTGTGGTGGCTCACACTTGTAGTTCCAGCTACTGGGAGGCTGAGGCAGGAGGATTTCCTGGGCTTGGGAGTTAGAGGCTGCAGTGAGCCAGGATTAAGCCTGTGAATAGCCACTGTGCTGCAGTGGGCAGTGTGGCATAGACCCCATCTCAATAAAAATAACAACAGATAAAACCAATAAAAAAGAATCCCTTTTTTCCATTTATGATGATTTTAGAGCGTGGAGCCTCTTGGTTTGTGCGTTGCCTTCCTGAAGGCTTGAACTGGTGGTCATGGGACGGTTGCCGATGACCATGTCCTTCTCTCATTCTTAGTGAGGTGGACATGGCCACGTGCTCGTGAGCTCACATGTGTCTCCCGGTGAGAATGCATGATGGCTGAAGCGTCTGCCTGGCCCAGGCACAGCAGGTGTAGTCTGGCCTCCTGGCATGTGACAGCCTGGCCGCCTGTGTCCTTGGCTCGTTTCCCTGGGATCTGCCTCATTGCCCTTGTCATCTGCCTGGGCATGTCGGCACCGGAGAAACAGGGAATCAGTTACCTTCCTGTCCCCACTGTTTTCCTTGATGATTTGCATGAGCTCTTTACGCAGTCAGAGCAGAGAGCCTTTAATAACCGAGGTCCGGCAGCATGGCTGTCACTGGGGTGGACCCCCGAGCACACCCCGCTGTCCTCTCTGTCACATTACCCGAGAGCAGCCCCACGACCGTGTGCTAACCTGTGTGTTTGGTGTGTGCAGGACGGCACCCTGAGGCTCTGGGAGTACAGGAGCGGCCGCCAGCTGCACTGCTGTCACCTGGCCAGTCTGCAGGAGCCGGTGGACCCCCAGGCCCCCCAGGTAGCTGCTTCTGTTCACTCCTGTTGGCTGTGTGTAGGTGTGTGTAGGTACCTGTAGTCGCTTGGCTTGAGTGAAAAAGTCACTTCACTGTTGGAAACATTTGCCCTCAATGCCAGACTTCTTCCTGTGGGAGGGAAATCTTGTATTTCAAATTCTGAAGGTGTCTTGTCATGTCAGTGGGAAATATCTGTCTCACTGTTGCCTGCAGACAGTGGACGTACAGGAAGGCCTCTAATCCTGCTCTGAAGTGGAAGGAATGCAGGTGCTTGAGCATGCACCTCTGTGGGTCTGCCGGCCAGGTGGGGCAGGGTGGGGCTGGGCCCATTCCAGCGTCGTCCGGCTGGCTTGGAGCCATCTCATGACACCCTGAATGCCCCAGCCTTGGTCAAGTTTCCCCATGGGTCTGTTTCGTTTCTTAGAGAACTTGTGTGGTGTGGCCTCTGCCCCCTGCCAGGTGGCTGTGTGAGACAGGATCAGGCCTTTTCCTCCATGGTCACGTGACTTGGGTTCCTGGAAGTTTCCTTCATTTTTTTTTTTCTTTTGAGAAGGAGTTTCACTCTTGTTGCCCAGGCTGGAGTGTAGTGGCGTGATCTCAGCTCACCGCAAACTCCACCTTCCAGGTTCAAGCGATTCTCCTGCCTCAGCGTCCTGAGTAGCTGGGACTACAGGCGCGTGCCACCACACCCAGCTAATTTTATATTTTTAGTAGAGACAGGGTTTCACCATGTTGACCAGGATGGTCTCAAACTCCTGACCTCAGGTGATCTGCCTGCCTCAGCCTCCCAAAATATTGGGATTACAGGGGTAAGCCACTGTGCCTGGCTTCCTTCATTAAAAAACAATTTTGTTTTTTGAGATGGAGTCTCACCTTTGCCCAGGCTGGAGTACAGTGGTGCTCTCTCGACTCACTGCCACCTCCGCCTCCCGGGTACATGTCATTCTTCTGCCTCAGGCTCCTGAGTAGCTGGGATTACAGGCATGTGCCACCACGCCTGGCTGATTTTTGTAAAGATGGGGTTTTGCCATGTTTGCCAGGCTGGTCTCAAACTCCAAACCTGAGGTGATCCACCTGCCTTGGCCTCCCGAAGGGCTGGGATTACAGGTGTGAGCCACTGGGCATGCCCAGCCTCTTCATTCGTAGCATTTCCTCTGCCAGGAAGTGTGGGGCTCACAGGGCAGTGGTGTGTATAGCTGCTGTCCCTTTCTTGCCCCCGTGTTCTCTGCTCCCTCCTCTCCTCACTGACCCATTTTGTTGGCTTTGGAGGCTGTTGAGTCTCACCTGCCACTGGCTGCTCACTGGCCTGCAGAGCACCAGAGGGCTTCCCGGCAGTCCTGGAGCACCCACAGCCCCTGGGTCTCCTTGAAAGCCACGTCCTGCCCTGCCCACCTGCACTGTGCTGGTTAATCTATTGCTGCCCCAGAGCTTAGGACTTAAACTCTCTGCAGGCCCTTCAGGGAGCCCCAGAGTCACTGGGGGGCTTTCGTCATCTGCCTGGGCATGTCCGCTCACTTGAGAAATAGGGAATCGGCTACCCTTGTTTCCCCACTGATTCCAGAATGTTCTTGTACTGTTTCCTCTTTCCCTCCTGGGTATGTGGGGGCTCTGTGCATCCTTCAGTTTCGCTCTTGTTGGATCAGCATGCCCAGCGTCAGCCCCTGCAGGTGGCGTAAAGTTAACGGGCTGCTTCTCCTTTCAGAGGCTGGCCGCGTCCAGGATTGCATTCTGGTGCCAGGAGAACTGCGTGGCGCTCCTGTGCGACAGGTAAGCTGTGGTGGCATGTCCATGGCCTCTGGTTCTGCAGACCTGCAGGGGGAGAGTTAGCGGGTTGGCCACTGGCACTCGTCCTCAATGAAGAGGTCCTGGGCGGTGGTGGTGGCCCCGAAGCTCCCTCTGAGAACGTCACTTTTGATGACTGCTGCTGCGTGAGGGTGGGGGCTCCTCTCAGCCAGTGCCCTTCAACCTGACGTCGAACTCCCCTGGCGTTAGGGGCACCAGCGGCCCTGCCTGGCGTTCTGAGAGGTTGGACTCTCCCCAGGCTTGGTCATGGGGGCATCGCTCGCCTCACTCGCCTCACTCACCTCACTCCCTGCTCGGGGCTGGTTGGCTGGGACCCCCTGGGCTTGGCAGTGCTGACGAGGCACGTTTCAGGGTGGGGTGCAGTTCCGCAGCTGTTCCCGAGCGGCTTCTGGGTCAGGAAAGGTATTAGTTTTGGTGCTTTTGGCACTTTTCATCTTGTCCTCATGACAATCTGGGGAGGTCTCTTAGCTCGTTCTTGTGTGAGAGGAGAGCTGTACCTGAGCCCAGGGCCTGTGTCCCATCTGCCGCACCAGCTGGCCTGTGCCCTCCTGCCCTGCCCGCCTGTCCCATCCTGGTTGTCTGCTGCTGTGCCATGAACTACCACAGAGCTTAGCACTTAAACCAAGCCCGCATCCCCCCGTGGCTTCCCTGGCTCCAGCACTCGGCAGAGGCGCAGCTGGGGCTCTCGGGGCAGCCTCTCCTGAGGTGGCGCCGGCGAGGGCTGCGCTGTCTGGGGTGCTGGCTGCAGAGTGGCGCCGTGGGCCTGCAGTCCCAGTCACCGTGCTCTCTGTTCGTGGCAAGCACTCCTGTGGTCTACATCTTCCGGGTGGATGCCGGCAGACAGCAGCTGGTGGACAGGCAGCAGTTGGCGTTCCAGCACCAAGTGTGGGACGTGGCTTTTGAGGAGACCCAGGGACTGTGGGTGCTTCAGAACTGCCGGGAGGCCCCCCTGGTGCTCTGCAGACCTGTGGGCGGCCAGTGGCAGGTAAGACTTGGCACCTCCCTGATGGCCCAGGCCCTGCTGTCCCATAAGCCTGTGGGTGGGGGCTGGCAGCTGTGGTTTTTGTGTCCTCACATGAGCCTCTTTCAACTCAGCCACTTTGGGGCCCAGGGTCTGTGTCCTGAGGGGCAGTGGGTGGGGCTTCCACCGTGGGTGAAGGGAGCCGGGTGCCTGGCCGGCGTGGCCGCTTGTCCCGCATGGTGATGTCTGTAGCAGTTCCTTTTTGGGGGGAGTGTGTGGCTGGGGTGTGTGGGACTAACACTTGCGAGCTGGGTTAGCACAGCCTCGGGCCTGGGGCACTGGTGGAGCACTTGGGAGCACGTGGATCCCCGGCAGAGGAAGGGGCGAGGGCAGCGGGCTGAGCTGCTTCTCTGGAGGTCGCGGTAGGGAGAGCCCGGCTCCCTTCCTCCACCCACTGCCCCTCAGGACACAGAACCCTGGGCTGAGCGATTTCCTTGCTGGGGGACGGGGTGAGCCCTGTCCTTTCTCCACGTCGCTCCTGGTAACATGGGAGTGATGCCCCTGGCTGCCTTGCATCTCACGAGGTTGCTCTGGAGTTGAGTGGAGTAGATACCAATTTACCAAAGTTCAACTGAGCACTTTGGAAGCACTTTTAAGCCATCTAGTTCTTTTTACCTGAGAGGTGGCGGCCACATGATGTCCCTAGTGGGTGCCTGTGGCACCTGCAGGGCCCCTGAGGCTGATGACTGCATGTGAAGGGCTCGCCCTGGCGTCATGGGCAAGCTGGGGGTGCTGCCTCCCTAGGTCTCCATGGAAGGCGGACGGGGGTCACCAGGCACCAGGAGGGGGCCTCCCCCCGCAGGCCTCTCTGGCCAGTGCGTGTTGCGTCCTGGTGCTGGGTTTTCAGGCCGGCCTCTATCTAATGAAGGCTCCCTGCTTGTTGTCTGCAGTCTGTCCCTGAGAGCGCCGTGTTAAGGAAAGTCTCTGCTGTTCTTCATAGGAACTGGGCCATGATGGAAGGTGAGCGCATGGGCACAGGCTGCCCTTGGGGGTCATGCCCAGCACAGCCCCCAGAGAAAGATCACACACTGCCGCGCGCCTGAGGGATCTGGTGTGCGGGTAAAGAGGGGAAGGGTAAGCATGTGCCCTCATCAGAAGGTGGGGTGGGGCAGGAGGAGGGTGGCGCACAGCAGTGAAGGACCCCCCAAGAGAGTCAGGCTGCCAAGAGCTACGCAGGAAGTGGGGGCTCAGGATCTGAGCAGCATCCCCCGCTCCCCACCTGCCTTCAGAGTTGAGTACTGGGGGTCCCCAGGGCAGGGCTGGCACCTGGTGGCTCCCAGAAGGAGTGGGCGCTGTGCTGCCTCAGGCCTGGTCCATGGTATCGAGGGAATTGATCCCACTCTGCATTCGGCAGCCAATGCAGATCCCCACTAGGAGGTCTTGTGGGGGCTAGCCAGAGGCCCCGGGGGTCTTCAGGAGGCTGAACGGGCAGGATGGTCACTGTCCTGACGGGAACACTCAGCTCAGGGGAGGGAATCTGGTCAGCAATTCGTTGGTTGCGGCTGCAGGAAGGAGAGCAGCTGGCTGCGGGAGGACGCTGGAGGAGCAGTTCCACTCTGCCTTCTGGGGGCGCCACTGCGCCAACACCGAGCAGTCTCGGAGGCGATGGTGTCTGCAGGGTGGGTTAGCCCCGCGTGGAATCCAGGTGCCTCATTCATGTTCAGAAGTTGCTCCTCTGAGGAAGCCTTGCAAAGCCAGAGCCCCCTCAGGTCAGCACGGAGGTTCCTTGGAGCTCTGGAGGGATTCAAACTCAGGTCAGAGGAGTTTCCGCGGCCGGTGGCCTGAGTGCTGCCAAGTTTCCCGAGGGATGGCGCTGGCTCTGCTCTTCTCTCCTTCCTGCTTTGCTTAGGACGTTGAGGGTTGAGACGGGCAGGGCTGGGTGCCCAGTGCGGTTGGGATCTGCTTCAGGACGCCTCCAGAGTGGGCTGGTCACTGGCTGTGTCAGGGACTGCAGGTGGCAGTGCCCATGGCCAGCATGGACCTGTTGAGCGTCACCTTGCACAGCAGGCTCAGGCTGAAGCCTGGCCTTACTCTCCTGAGATGTTTGTAGATAGAGCAGCCTGTTCTTGGTACAGACTTGGGGTCCTTGTGGGGAGAGGGACGCGGGGAGGGCTGTTGCACAGTGTCCCACAAGCAGCAGATCGCTGGAGGCGGTCCCTGGTGTGTGGGTGACCGCACCTGTGGTTTCCTGGCTGGGCTGAGGCCGTCTCCGTGTGCCTGTGGTCAGTCATTGCCCCCAAGCCTTGGCACTTAGATAAATAAATGGAATCTATGCCCATTCCCTGTGGCTGCGGAACATGCTCTCCCACACTTGATGCCAGCAGGCCCCCACACTTAGCGTCTCACTGTTGCTGTGGGTCAGGGGTCCGGACTCCTGAGCTGTGTCTCTGCAGGCGGCCACCTCAGCTTCACCCAGCGGGGCCCAACCCCGTTCATTCCAGGTTACCAGCAGGATGGGGCCAGAGGCCACTGCTCCTGGTCCCCTGCCATGTGGGCCCCTCCACAGTGTGGCTCGTGGTGTCATGGCACAGCAGTGACTTTCTCCCCACGCGTGAGCAGAGAGTGCTGGCGGGGTGGAGGCCCAGCTTTGGTGCCCTGGTTTCTGTTACACTCCTTCGTCTTTGCCCCGTCTGTTAGGAGGCAGCCCTCTGGCCTAGCCAGGGTGTGGGTCCCAGGAGGTGGGTACTGTGGGGAGCCATCCCAGAAGGCGCCCTCCACGGTCCACCAAGGACTCTGGGTGTCACAAGGTAACTCCCTGCAGCAGGGGCTCTGCTGTGGCCGAGTCCCATGCTCCTGCCCCACCCAGCACCTGTCCCTGTTCCCCCATCACAGGCTCTGCCAGCGTGGACGCCAGCTTCAGCAGTCTCTACAAGGCCACCTTCGACAATATGACCTCCTACCTGAGAAAGAAAGAGGAGAGGCTGCAGCAGCAGCTGGAGAAGAAGAGGCGCCAGAGTCCCCCGCCTGGGCCCAACGGGCAGGCCAAGAAGATGAGGCCGGGGGAGACGGCCTTGAGTTGCTGAGCGTCGCAGTCGGTGGGGCCTCTCACCTCGAGTCAGGAAAAGCGTTTTCACTTGTTCCCCTGCATCTTGGTGTCTCCCTTCAAGAAAAAAAAGGTGACGTCAGCTGCGATCAGCTCAGAGGATGGGACTGTCCCCTGGGCTCCAGAAAGAACATTCTGTGTCACCAGGCACAGGCGCTTGCTCGGTGCCTGTGCCCCGTTTCTGGCTGAAGGGAAGCCAGACCGGTGGAGGGGAAGATCTTGAAGTGCTTTGTTTTCAGGTCGGAGGCAGCGTGCACACCTGCGGTGGCAGCAGCTGTGTGTGGTTCTGCTGTTCTCCTACCCTGTTCATATCTGGCGCATCTTCCTCTAGGAGCGTCTGCGGGCTGGCGTTTCTGGCACAGTGGACGTTTTCATGCTGCCTCAGCGTCCAGGTGATGCGCTGCCCCGCAGTAGCTGCTCGCCACACAGGCTGTTGAAACAGCACGAACATTCAGCCCTAGCCCCAGCCCCAGCCAGACCCCCGTGCTCGGGAGCTGTTTCTGGAGAGTAGCTCTCGTGGGAAGTGCAGAAACGCGTTTTAGAGTCGCAGGGAGCTCTGTCAGGCAGCGCTGGCACAGATGGTGAACTTCTTTCAGGAATTCTGAGGATGGGCCTGGCTGGCACCCGGTTTTATAGGGAGGTGACTGAGGACGTTATGATTTGACTTGACCTTGGCACACGCTGCAGAGCCACAGGGATGCTGCTGAATTTCGGTCACCAATCAGCAAGGATAAACATTCACAGCTTCTTAGAAATGTTTAGCAGCAGAGCACGGCCAGCAAAGCATCCGGTGTGTGCACTGTGTGAGTGGGGTGCGTGCACTGTGTGAGTGGGGTGCGTGCACTGTGAGTGGGGTGCGTGCACTGAGTGGGGTGCGTGCACTGTGTGAGTGGGGTGTGTGCACTGTGAGTGGGGTGCATGCACTGTGTGAGTGGGGTGTGTGCACTGTGAGTGGAGTGCGTGCACTGTGTGAGTGGGGTGTGCACTGTGAGTGGGGTGCGTGCACTGTGTGAGTGGGGTGCGTGCACTGAGTGGGGTGTGTGCACTGACTGAGTGCGGTGTGTGCACTGTGAGTGGGGTGCGTGCACTGTGTGAGGGGTGTGTGCACTGAGTGCGGTGTGTGCACTGTGAGTGGGGTGCGTGCACTGTGTGAGTGGGGTGTGTGCACTGAGTGGGGTGCGTGCACTGTGTGAGTGGGGTGTGTGCACTGTGAGTGGGGTGCGTGCACTGTGTGAGTGGGGTGTGTGCACTGTGAGTGGAGTGCGTGCACTGTGTGAGTGGGGTGTGTGCACTGTGAGTGGGGTGCGTGCACTGAGTGGGGTGTGTGCACTGACTGAGTGCGGTGTGTGCACTGTGAGTGGGGTGCGTGCACTGTGTGAGGGGTGTGTGCACTGAGTGCGGTGTGTGCACTGTGAGTGGGGTGCGTGCACTGTGTGAGTGGGGTGTGTGCACTGAGTGGGGTGCGTGCACTGTGTGAGTGGGGTGTGTGCACTGTGAGTGGGGTGCGTGCACTGTGAGTGGGGTGTGTGCACTGTGAGTGGAGTGCGTGCACTGTGTGAGTGGGGTGTGTGCACTGTGAGTGGGGTGCGTGCACTGAGTGGGGTGTGTGCACTGACTGAGTGCGGTGTGTGCACTGTGAGTGGGGTGCGTGCACTGTGTGAGGGGTGTGTGCACTGAGTGCGGTGTGTGCACTGTGAGTGGGGTGCGTGCACTGTGTGAGTGGGGTGTGTGCACTGAGTGGGGTGCGTGCACTGTGTGAGTGGGGTGTGTGCACTGAGTGGGGTGCGTGCACTGTGTGTGGTGCGTGCACTGTGTGAGTGGGGTGCGTGCACTGACTGCGGTGTGTGCACTGTGAGTGGGGTGCGTGCACTGTGTGAGTGGGGTGTGTGCACTGAGTGGGGTGTGTGCACTGTGAGTGGGGTGCGTGCACTGAGTGGGGTGTGTGCACTGACTGAGTGCGGTGTGTGCACTGTGTGAGTGGGGTGCGTGCACTGAGTGCGGTGCGTGCACTGTGAGTGGGGTGCGTGCACTGTGAGTGGGGTGCGTGCACTGAGTGGGGTGTGTGCATTGTGAGTGGGTGCGTGCACTGAGTGGGGTGTGTGCACTGTGTGAGTGGGGTGTGTGCACTGACAGTGCGGTGTGTGCACTGTGAGTGGGGTGCGTGCACTGTGTGAGTGGGGTGCGTGCACTGAGTGGGGTGCATGCATTGTGAGTGGGGTGCGTGCACTGAGTGGGGTGCGTGCACTGTGTGGTGCGTGCACTGTGTGAGTGGGGTGCGTGCACTGAGTGCGGTGTGTGCACTGAGTGGGGTGCGTGCACTGTGTGAGTGGGGTGTGTGCACTGAGTGGGGTGCGTGCATTGTGAGTGGGGTGCGTGCACTGAGTGGGGTGCGTGCACTGTGTGTGGTGCGTGCACTGTGTGAGTGGGGTGCGTGCGCTGAGTGCGGTGTGCACTGTGAGTGGGGTGCGTGCACTGAGTGCGGTGTGTGCACTGTGAGTGGGGTGCGTGCACTGTGTGAGTGGGGTGCGTGCACTGTGTGTGGTGCGTGCACTGAGTGGGGTGTGTGCACTGTGTGGTGCGTGCACTGTGTGAGTGGGGTGCGTGCACTGAGTGCGGTGTGTGCACTGTGAGGGGTGCGTGCACTCTGTGGGGTGCGTGCACTGTGTGAGTGGCGTGCGTGCACTGTGAATGCGGTGCGTGCACTGTGTGAGTGGGGTGCGTGCACTGAGTGGGGTGCGTGCACTGTGAGTGGGGTGCGTGCACTGTGAGTGGGGTGCGTGCACTGTGTGAGTGGGGTGCGTGCACTGTGTGAGTGGGGTGTGCACCGTGTGGTCTGGGAAGAGGCTTCTGGGTGTGTCAGGTCGTTCATTGTGCAGACGCTCTCCAGTGCGGAAGTCTCCACCCAAGAAGAGCCGCGTGCTGCTGATGACTTTCACATGGGGTATCGCAGGGGACTTAGAATCCTTTTGTGTTTCAAAAGCTGGAATGCTTCCAATTTTTCATAAGTGCCTTGTTTTCCTTTTAACATTGACCTGGAAACAGTGCTGTCTGCAGAGCTGAGGCCCCCTCCTCTGCTGGGCATCAGGGGTTTCAGAATGGAGGGGCCGTGCTGGGCCACGTCCTCCTCTAGAACAGCCTGACCTGCAGGCTGCCGGGGCATCTGGCGCAGGGATGCCCTCTCATTCGTAGTCCGCTTTGAAAGTCTTGGTTTTAGAAGTTGAGGTTGGTCTGGCCGTATCATCACTTTAGATAGGGGCTCGCAGACAGGCCCGTGTGCTGAATCCCACCCATGGCCTGATACATGGCCTGTGAATGGTTTTTTACATTTTAAAAATGGTTGAAAACAAATAAAAAATATATTTCATGACATGAAAACCGTGGCATTCACATCCCAGCATCTGTGAGTAGACTGATGGATGCAGCCAGGCCTGTCTGTCCACGCCTCATCTCCCTCTGCTTTGTGCTCCAGCCACAGAGTGGCGTGTTGGGACTGAGTGCAAAGGGCCTCCCCGCAGGGCCACGTGTCCACGACTGCGGCGGGGCTCCTCTGGGGCTCCGCTTCTTCCCTGTGGGGCCATGTCTCCACGACTGCGGCGGGGCTCCTCTGGGGCTCCGCTTCCTCCCCGCAGGGCCACGTGTCCATGACTACGGCGGGGCTCCTCTGGGGCTCTGCTTCCTCCCCGCGGGGCCGGCTTCCTGTGCTCCCTCCTCTGCATCCTGCGTTGGTCCCTCTGCTAAAGGCTGCTTCTGTCTGGGGAACGGCACAGCTGCCTTCTTGCTGGGACATTGACTGATTGACTGGTTCCTATTCTCCCGCCTGAAGTCGCCCCGGAAATAGCTCTTACAGTTACTTGGCTTGAACCCAGCTCCGCATGTATTCAGTTTTCTCTCTTGCCCCTCACCCAGAACAGCGGCACCCACCGTCTTCCTGTCCTCTGTGACCGCCTCGCTGCTGGGTCTGTTCTGTGAGACATCATGGCCTCCCCCGATTGCCATCTGGGAGGATCTCACCCCTTCAGTTTCAACTGTTCTATTCCATTAATTTTTGGTTTCTATGTATTTTGCTTTTGGGACATTCCTTGGACTTTGTTCTCCCTCTTTAATTGATTAAGAACATTTGGTCGTTGTATTCAATTTTTTTTTTTTTTAAGACAGCGTCTTGCTCTGTCGCCCAGGCTGGAATACAGTGGCGTAATCTCGACTCACTGTAACCTCTGCCTCCCAGGTTCAAGTGATTCTCCTGCCTCTGCCTGCCCAGTAGCTGGAATTACAGGCGCATGCCACAACATCCAGCCAATTTTTGTAATTTTAGTACAGAGGGCATTTTGCCATGTTGGCCAGGCTGGTCTCGAACACCTGACTTCAGGTGATCCTATCACCTTGGCCTCCTAAAGTGCTGGGATTATAGGTGTCAACCACTGCACCCAACCTCTTGTGTTTAATTCTAAGCACTTTCTTCTTCTTCTTCTTTCTTTTTTTTGGAGATGGTCTTCCTCCATCATCCAGGCTGAGGTGCAGTGGTGGTGTGATCTTGGCTCACTGCAGCCTCAATCTTCTGGCTCAAGCAATCCTCCCATCTTGGCCTCCCAGAGTGCTGGGATTATAGGCATGAGACACCATGCCCGGCCCCTCGCTCTTCATTTAGGTAACAGTGCATGTACTGTACAACTGGAAAGTGCATGTGAAATGCTAGAACTGGGATTCACCGTATGACTGCCCAGGAGACCAGGACGCTTAGCACCTGCCGAGAAGCCCCCACACCCATGTTCCCTTCTAGGCACTGCCACATGCATGCTGGCTGGCCCAACCTCAGTTTCCCTTCTCTTGTTCTGGCTGCTTCTGCTCCACCCTATTTGTGAGGCTCATCCACCTTGTTGCCTGTGTTGTGGATTGTTCATTCTCAGTGCTATGCTAAGTACTCCATTGTGTGAAAATTCCACAATGCTTTGGTTCCGCTGTGGATGGGCATTTGGGTAGCGTCCAGTTTGGCTGTTAGGAATGGAGCAGTGATGAACATGCTGGCACCTGTCTTCTGTTTTTTTACGTTTAGAGACAGGGTCTTGCTCTCTTACCCAGGCTGGAGTGTGACCTTGGCTCACTGCAGCCTCAGCCTCCTGGGCTCAAGCAATCCTCCTGGGATTACAGGTGTGTGCCACCACGCTGGCTAATTTTTGTAGTTTTTTGTAGAGATGGGGTCTGGCTCTGCTGCCCAGACTGGTCTCGAACTTCTGTTCTCAAGCAGTCCTCCTGCCTCGGCTTCCCAAAGCAATGGGATTACAGGCCTGAGCCACCATCCCTAGCCAGCACCTGTCTTCTGGAACATTTGTAAGCATTTCTGTTGGGCGTGTACTTATGCGTGGAATTGCTGGCTCTTAGTTGTATATGTTTAGCTTAGAAGATACTGCAAGGTGGAAAACACAGCACATCCTCACGCCTGGTGTTTGTGGCTGTGGTGGCCATGGGTGCCTTGGAAAGCCCACGGTGTGTGCAGAGGTGTAGACTTCCAGTTTCTGCAGACTGGCACATGGAGCCAGTGAAGCTGTCCACCTACGATCCAGACCTCACCTTGATCTTGTTCTCCGAGGCCACCTTCCCAAAACATTGGCTCACCCAGTCTTAGATCACTCACCCTGGCGGAGCTCTGCCGCAAGGTCACGAGGACACTGAGGCAGCCTACATGGAGGTCACTGTGGCAGAGCACAGGCCTCCTGCCAGCAGCCAGCAGCCGCCGGCCAGCCGCGAGGGCACCTCTGGGAAGGAGAGCTTTCTGCGGTTTGTCCTTCACCCCGTGTATACTGACATGATGCGTTTTCTTTCCGATTTCCCCTGAGATTTATTTGGTCCGGGGTGATTGCACCCTGTGTATACTGACATGATGTGTTTTTCTTTCCGATTTCCCCTGAGATTTATTTGGTCCGGGGTTATTGACCCCGTGTATACTGACATGATGCATTTTCTTTCCGATTTCCCCTGAGATTTATTTGGTCCGGGGTGATTGCACCCCGTGTATACTGACATGATACGTTTTCTTTCCGATTTCCCCTGAGATTTATTTGGTCCGGGGTTATTGACCCCGTGTATACTGACATGATACGTTTTCTTTCCGATTTCCCCTGAGATTTATTTGGTCCGGGGTGATTGCACCCTGTGTATACTGACATGATGTGTTTTTCTTTCCGATTTCCCCTGAGATTTATTTGGTCCGGGGTGATTGCACCCCGTGTATACTGACATGATACGTTTTCTTTCCGATTTCCCCTGAGATTTATTTGGTCCGGGGTGATTGCACCCTGTGTATACTGACATGATACGTTTTCTTTCCGATTTCCCCTGAGATTTATTTGGTCCGGGGTTATTGACCCCGTGTATACTGACATGATTCGTTTTCTTTCCGATTTCCCCTGAGATTTATTTGGTCCGGGGTGATTGCACCCCGTGTATACTGACATGATACGTTTTCTTTCCGATTTCCCCTGAGATTTATTTGGTCCGGGGTGATTGCACCCCGTGTATACTGACATGATGTGTTTTTCTTTCTGATTTCCTGAGGTTTCTTTGGTCCGGGGTTATTGCACCCTGTGTATACTGACATGATGCATTTTTCTTTCCGATTTCCCCTGAGGTTTCTTCGGTCCGGATGATTTGGAAGTTTCATTTCTAAACATTTAGGGTTTTTCTCCAGGTTTTGTTGTTTCTGATTTTAATTCCATTGTGGTCTCAGAATATGCTTTGCTGCCTCCACTTTGTTTAGATCTGTCGAGGCCTGTTTGTGCTTCACAATGTGGGGGTGATTGCTTGTGCACATGCAGATGTGTGTGGCCCAGACCAGTGTCCCCAGCTGTCCCTGTCTTGCCTCTCCGTGCCTGGCGCACCCTTCTTAGCCCTGCCGTGTGATCCTGGAGCAGGGCCCTCCCTGGACCCTCCTTTGCAGGTTGGCACAGTGTTTGGCTATGTCCTGGAGGGGCTGCAGGGACTGCACAGGAGGGAGGGGCCTGCCCTCCTGGTTCCAGCGTGCTGGCCTTTCCTGGATTCTGTGGTGTGTGCCTGCCAACCTCATAGAGGGTGAGGATGGGCTCTCAGTTACAGCCTCCAGGAGCTTATTGACATCAGGTTCACCATGGTGGGAAGGATTCCTGCTGAGTTTCCTTGCCTCTGTCCAGCTCCCAGGGAGTCTGTCTCCCTCCCACCCCAGCAAGAGCTTCTGGGTGAGTCTCGCTGGCGCTGCTGCCTGTCTTTCTGGCCGTGGCCTGCTGCACCTCCGAGAACTCCACCACCCGGCACATAGCCCCACTCAGTTCAGAGTACATCGAAGCCAAGGTGGGGTTCTGAGGTTCTCACCGAGATCCAGACCCAACACTTGTAGGTCTGTTGTCTCAGTCCTGGCGGGGAGGTTCTCCTAGGCCTCAGCGCCCTGTGCTCAGATGTCTCTTTCCATGTTAGTGGAACCCTCTGTTCCTGTTTGATTATTCTTCATGTTAAATGTTTCTGTCTTTTAGCCGCGTGTGGTGGCTCATACCTGTAATCCCAGCACTTTGGGAGGCTGAGGGGGGCGGATCACGAGGTGCCCTGTGCTCAGATGTCTCTTTCCATGTTAGTGGAACCCTCTGTTCCTGTTTGATTATTCTTCATGTTAAATGTTTCTGTCTTTTAGCCACATGTGGTGGCTCATACCTGTAATCCCAGCACTTTGGGAGGCTGAGGGGGCGGATCACGAGGTCAGGATTTCAAGACCAGCCTGACCAACATGGTGAAACCCTGTCTCTACAAAGAGTACAGAGATTAGCCGGGTGTCATGGCGCGTGCCTGTAATCCCAGCTAGGTGTCTGCCTAGAGTTTGTCAGAGCTTTCAAAAAAAAAACCTTTATCGTATTGATCTTTTGTATTGTTTTCTTCATTTCAGTTCATCTGTTTCTTCTCTGACTTCTATTTTTTCTACTAATTTAGGGTTGGGTTTGCTCTTGCCTTTCTATTTCTTTAAAGTGCATTGTCATATTGTTTAATTAAAGTTTTTTTTTCTTTTTCTTTTTCTTTTTTTTTAGATAGAGTCTCACACTATCCCCCGGGCTGGAACGCAATGACGCAGGGTCGGCTCACTGACACCTCTGCCTCCTGGGTTCAAGTGATTCTCCTGCCTCAGCTTCCTGAGTAGCTGGGATTTTAGGTGCTGGCCACCATGCCTGGCTACTTTTTTGTATGTTTGTATTAGAGACCAGGCTTCACTGTGTTGGCCAGGTTGATCTCAAACTCCTGACCTCGTGATCCATGTGCCTCAGCCTCCCGAAGTGCTGGGGTTACAGACATGAGCCACCACACCCAGCCTCTTTTTTTCCCTAATGTAGGCTCTCTGGCTGTAACCTCCTGCTCAGTGCTGCTCT